ATATGACTATGTTATGATTGTTATGTTAAATCTATCTATTAATCCAAGGAGGCTACCGCTACTGCCTCTATGATGAAATTAATCTAACATCTTCTGAGCTTGTCAAATCTTTATCTAAACAACTATAAACACCCCTACCATTTCCAGCTGGTCCTTCAGCTCCTTATTTCTTTCTCTTGCTTTGTCCATAACTTACGACGTTCTCCAGACCGTTAAATTTTCAGATTTCGGAACAAAACCTGGAAAACAGCATGTGTTTGTGTTCACCTGGCTGAAGGTTAAAGGTTACCGGACATGCGCACTAACATTTCGTCCATGTTTCCGGGGAAAACTCGGCCAAGCAGATAAAAATGCCTTCGAAAAAGAAGAAATACAACGCGCGGTTTCCTCCCGTAAGTACAGACCAATGCACTTTAGACAAGCAATATCACTTTCTTCTTTCTGTAGATCGTGCTTTGTCGGGTTTTTGTCGTAGAAGTGAAAATCAGTGCATTTTGCTTCTGTGCAGTGTGGGGAGGGGGGCGTTTCTTCTTCCTAGAAATTTTCTAATTTCCAATGAGTACTTCATGGTTCAACCCACGCATGTATAATGACCACGAGGAAATGTTAACGCCATATGTCAGAGTCGCACGCTTTTGAGAAGTTAAAAGAAAATTCAACTGCCATAGTTTAAGCGGAAATTTGTATGTTTTTATATCAGTATCATGTTATCAACTCGAAAATATATTTTGGACAGGACTGTCTCTACATTTTAGCGGGGTACAGGTCGAATCGCCCCATGTCACTTTCGCCCCGTCTATTTACTACCAGATCGCCCCATGTTTATGTGACCTGAACTATGTTTTATTCATGTGATATTCGCGTATTTTGGTAACATTTATATTCTCTAGATGTTACCAAAGCCTTGTGACTATATTTTGAATGTTTCTCCTGCGTTCGGCAAGTATTTGACGCCGATGAAAAGTCCGGCTCCGCGGCGGGCCGACACGCGATCGGGCCCGCCACCGAATCGCAGACCGGCAGCTGCTGTTTGTGAAAACACTGTTTGTGAAATCAGTTATGGCAAGATTTATCAAGAAATCCAACATAACAGAACCCCATAAATGTTCACAAACACGAAGTAGATTAGTAAATGTTGCAGAGTTTCTTAGAAGTCTACTAAATGTGCGTTACAGCAAGCAGGCGCCCCCGAATGCGGCGGCGGGTCAGGTCGCGTGTCGGCCCGCCGCGTACCCGGACTTTCATCGGGGATTCGGCGGTTAACAAATAAGAAACACTCAAAATATAGTCACAAGGCTTTGCTAATATGTAAGGAATATTTAGAAGTAGGATTCATGCGTATATCACCCGATTAAAACATAACATTGGTCACTTAAACATGGGGCGATCTGGTAGTAAATAGCTGGGGCGAAAGTGACATGGGGCGAAAGATCTAGAAACCATTTTAGCGTGCTGTAACTCGTAACAGAACTTAATGATAAATGTTGTATTCATTACATAACAGAAAGCTATTACCAGAAACCCCCTAATTGTATTTGTAATACATCAAGTTGCAATGACTACTTGGTCAACTAACTGATTATTACTATTATGAAGATGATGCAAAAAAAATGATAACAATAAACTATTATAAACAGAAAGACTGGTTTGTTTTCTTTCCACTGTAGGCCAGAATAAAGAAGATCATGCAGACTGATGAGGATGTGGGAAAAGTTGCTGCTGCAGTTCCTGTCATTATCTGTATCCTTGTTGAAAAATGCCAACATGTTGTTTCTCTACTATTCAGATGATGTTAACCTTACATGTGTATTGTTGATAGATGTGTATTAACTCAAGAAGTGTCAGATCAATTTGCATGGGTATTGGAAGCCCAACAAATGTGTATTGATGTAGATTGAGCTAATCAGCCATTCTTCACACGCACGCGCAAATTTTTCACGCGCACAAAACCCCATCTCAAAGACCCCAGTATCATAATATGGGTGTTTGGCAAAAAAAAGGCGATCACTTTGTGACCATGGGAGGAGAAGAGTTTAGGAAGAGGGAAGAGTGTCTACTGTGCTGTAGGCAATATTGTTGCATGCTTTTGTTGATAGCTCCTTGACCATATCTGACAGCTCGCTGCTTGGAGATCTTCGTTGAGTCTCTTGTCACAAAAGCTAGTGATGTAACAAGGTCCAGGAATGCCAAGACCATGACAACTGCTCATCTGTAAGTTCCTCAGTATTACATGTGGTTTTCAGTATCCTAAACTCAAGAGGCAGGGGCGAGGGGTGCTATGTACTTTGTATACCCAGTACAAATCCAACAATAGACATTATAGAGCAAAGGTACTGGTCAGTGGTACTAGGAGAAGTTGACTTTTGAATGGTTTGGAATGGCCATTCACATGTACGACACATGTGTACTCAACTCTATTGGGAGAGAAGACAAAGCTTTTAAACAAAGAAACAAACTGCTCTGATATAGAATTTTTTTGTCAAGACTGTAAAACAAAGGTGGCAACTGTACAATAAAGGTCTAGACGTATACAAAAGTCCTTCAGTATGAGGGGTTTTTGGGATACTCTTATTCACAAGTATTGGTTACAATAGTTTGTATAATGGTTTGAGCTACTGCAGAAGAAACACTAACCAGACAAAAATGGTATCACCATGGAGCTTTGAACTCCTTGGTATCACATAGGAGTTCAAACATTACACTGATCATCAAGCACACTGTGTGTGCAAACATTCTCCAATACTGGAAGATGCCCTTTTGTCAATTGAAACACTGCACTTTGTTGATTTGTCCTGAAATCAGTGCAGTTATTATCAAGGATCTTGAGTGCTTACTGTATGTTTTACTTACTTGCTTTCTTACACAACCTTCAGGAAAAGGTGCATTGAGACAGAGAGTCAGTTTGACTTCTTGAAGGACCTTGTAGAGAAGGTTCCAGACGTGGGGGAGGACAGTGGAGGTCGGGAGGTCAGGAACAGTGATGACAACGCTGCACAGTCTCGCCCCAGGTAAACTCTCACACCAAGTACAAGTTTTAAACTAATTAGTGCCAGACAGTACCCATGCACAAATGATGTGTCTCCATTGTCATTACTAAATGGTGTGTATGTACCGGGTAGTGTAGGCAATCCTAATGCATGTGTATGGAATCTGTTCTTGACATTATTTTCTGTCTTATCCAAGTTCTTTTATTGTCAGCACGAATGTAGCGCATAGTTAAGTCTATAAGTTATAACAGGGGGCCTCATAACAACTTACATCAATGTAAGAAAAGTGGAGATATTTATCATTGTCTATGGCTGTATGTCAGCCTTTTCATTTTTTTTAATGACTTGGGATGTCATTGATGTATTGTTCCAGACAAAGGAGACCGAGGACAAATGGAGGGAGGAAGAGAGGGAGAAGAAAATCATCAGAAGAGGAGGAGGAAGAGGAGGAGGAGGCAGAGGTAGATGGGAAACAAGTGAATCACATGATGATCGTATTTACAAATTATGAAGAAATACCAGTTTGTACAGAATGTTTCAGCAACACACAATTTCCGATATTCTCTAACTGTAGTGTATAGCATATTCCTTTTATGCATTGATGGTGTAGTATTGTACATGTATCATGAGTTGGACCAAATGGCAGATGTAATATAAAGAATGGACAAGGCAATACTTTGGATCCATGCTGAGAACTATACCACTTATGTTTCTTTATTATAGCTAATTGCAAGGTAATTTCATCAGGAAGTAATTATGCCATTTCAACTAGGAATGCTTAGTAGAGAGTGAGATGATGTCAAACCAAGTGTGACCTATCCTTGCCACTGTCTGTGTGTACAGGATGAGTCAGACATGGAGATGGAGGATGACCAGGACAGCACGTCCCAGGACAGTCAGCCCCTCAACCTGTCCATCTCCTCAGCCACTCACCTGACTGTACCTGTCATGCCCAGCTACACACCTTCAACATCCACCTCAGGACAGCAGCAGAGACCACCCAAACTGTAAGGACTACGCTGTTTCTACAGCATTTTATAACAAACAAAGGAAAGTCATTACACGTCTTTCATGCTGTGGTGCTTTTTTATTGGGCACAGTTATATATCTGGACCTGAAAGTACTTTTTCCTGAATACCTATGCCAGTGAGGGCAACATTGGAATTAGCTACACCAAACAAATTTTACTCGCATGAATCAGTTTCTTTTTTATTCCATAAAAAAGAGATTGTAGAAAGTAAGGATCACCATTTGTTGGAACCTGTATATTTGGCATTTCTCAGATGATATTAGCTAGTTTATGGAGCTGACAAAAAGCATGGTGCTGTCATCCATTGGCATTGTGATCATACGTAGGATTCAAGTTAAGCCAGTCACAATATGTCAGCCTATTTGAAATCAAACGTCTTACATGGAAATACATATTGTACATGTTTAAGTTTAAAGATTCTTTATTTTAACGTAAATCCATAAACAGAGTTTGATTTATTTTATATATTTTCCAGAGGACAGCCTGCAGTCTCCCCAGCCCTGGGTGTCCCTCCTATGCCTGGCATCCCCATCCCCCAGATGTTTGCAGCAATGGCTCCTCCCACTTCCACATCCATGTCAGTCACCCACATAGCCCCGCCCATCCCAGCTCCAGCAGCCAATCATGATGAAGATGATGATTATGACTCTTAGCAGTGTAACATTGCTGTTCTGCCCAGGTCTAAAACAGACATGTAGATTTAGGAGAGTTAACCTAACTAAAGGTCTATATGTACAGAGGATTTTATAAAGATACAACATTGTTATCATCTTATTCTGAGGTAGAAGGTTTCACAGTAATATCTGCAGGGCTATATTTTCTCTTACGTTTTATAATACATGATGGGCACATTAAGATTAAAATTTAATTTCTGCTTAAAAGATGCTTCGGTTTTGTATTTGTGGTATACTCAGAAAAACTGGGAGCTGATTGTAGGGTACAATGAGAGTTTTTCTGACAGTAAGTGTTTAAATGCTATTGTCCATCTATATTCTGTACTGTGTATGCTCTTATGTACATCTACAATACCTTCATTATGATAGTCCTGAAATACTAGTAACACATTTTAACATTTTGTAAACAGAAAAAAACAGCAAAACAGTTGGTATGGTACTTCTGGATTCAAAGGCATAAAATAATAATATATAGCTACCCCACAATATCTATTGGTCAAAGATACATTGTACCATTTTGGGGAGGGGTGTCAATGAATTGAAGGGTTTCGAAATTCGCCTCCATTGATGGTCAGTCAAAGTGTTTGAAAAGTCTGAGAAATGTACCTGTTGATGGTAAAGTTGTTTAAATCCTTATTTACTATGAGTTGTTTGACTGCAGATTTTTGTCTATATCACATTAAAAGTAGAGATATGATTACATGTACTCTTTAGAAAGAAGTTATTGATAGTGAAAATATATTTGGTGCTACTCTTCTGTCAGTTTGTGACACCAGTGATAACAAAATAAAACATTTCCTGATTACATTCATCCATAACAATTATCAAAAACGTAGATGTTTGCGCAAAACATACAGCCTTCTGATGTTACTGAATATCAAATTCTACAAATCATACTAGTACTTGTATGGTTAAATGTAATCAAGAAATGTTTTATTTTAAGTGTTATAGTGTCACAAACTCTTAATCATATTACTCTGTTGGTTATGTTGATAATATAACTGTACTGCTGTGGTATCTTACTATCTCTACAACAAAGAGTAATATGTTTCTAAGATAAGTTTTCCAGTATAGTCAAGGAGACAAAGTATTAATGTAGTATGCATCAATATTCGATAGATCATTATCAATGTATCTACAATAATCACCACTAAAAGGCACAGTTCAACTATGATACGAGCACTGATATCTTCTTATTGTTGTTGCGCATATTTACACTCAAAATGCACTGCTGCTAGGTTAGTCACACATTTTTTGTTCACACATTTTTGTTTCACAGCAAAAGCATTCTGCTGCTCTGTTAGAAGAAACAGATTATTACACTAGTGGCAATTACTATCTAATGATAGTATAAGACTTCATATTACCTGCTATACTTATAATCCAATGTTAAAAGAAATCATTGTGGAAACATCAATGTTGTACCAAAATATGAAATCAAGCCCTTATAATATGACTAACTGCTTTCTTAGTTACATATGTATGGAGACAATTAATTGTCTGGTGCTAGCACGTTTACTATTTTTTTCTTTTCACAAAGATTTGTTATAGATCAAGAATGGTGTAAACTATTTCTAAAAGATTACTCAACCCTATGATAGACTGACACTTTACTAGCACATGTAATGAATCTTGATGTACCTTGTTCCTGTATGATAATAAAAACATATAGTTTAAATATGCTTCAGTATTAATTTAGGTCAACTGTAAGCGGAGGACATGTGTGTCGTCAGGCATACTTTGATTGCGACCAGTAATTTCAAACATTTTGTTTGGATCATGCAACCATGATGTTTATGCCAAAATTGAGACTTATGAAAAAAAAACTGCAAAAACAAAATGGGCCACACATGTGCTTGGAGATTAATGAGCAAGGAATGTTTAGGATACATGTATGGTCTTGCAAGTGGAACCTGATACTACATAATATGCTCCATCCCTGAGGCGTCGCCAAAAAGCCCAACCCGGTGTAAGCCTGCTAAGGACGCACCACCCTCCCCCAAACGCACCTTTGACCTGGTTTTGACAGCAGGACCGGTTCAGCATAAACTAGAGTTCCCCGATCTCATACCTTCGCCAAATGATGTTAATCTTTATGACTGACAAATTATAGATTATTCCCCCCTGATTTAAGAAATAGGAACCTAATTTTCATGAATTATATCATTTTATCATAATATCATAAAGTAAGCATAATCTCAACCAAAAAACAGCCTTATATTAACAAACAATGCATTCTAGCATTTCCTAATAAACTATGCAAATGAGGTCCTAATTTGAATAAATTATGTTTAATGATGTTCACCTCAATTTAACTTTCAAATACCACAAGTATGAAATTCCAGGCAGTTATCATTACATAATTATAAAATTTTCTCATTAATTATGCAAATTAGATCATTATTAACATAATCAATATCTTCCTGTGTTTCTCTCGTTGTCAATTACCAATGTCACAAGCTTTAATTGTCCTATCATGGAATGCAGCTGATTTATAGAATTCCTCATAAATTATGCAAATTATATCCATATTTGCATAATTGTCACATAATTATATGAAGGATCACGTAAGCTACCTACATACCAAAAATCACGACGATCCGTCAACCGGTTCATGAGTTATCCCCTTTTGAATATTTTCAAGAATATATCGCTGCAGTTCCAGAGCAAGCCGCTAGGGGGCCTAAACTCACATCACTTCTTCCCCAGCACAAGAGCTACCTACCATCTAAATTTCATCACCATAGCATGTCAAGATCATGAGATATCAAAACCGGAAGTTCAGCTGCAGTACCATAACAAGCCGCTAGGGGGTCCAAAATCTAATCATTTTGAGGTCTCATCAAGACCTACCCACCTACCAAGTATCAAGACAATCCATTAAGGCCTTCTCAAGTTATCGTGTTGACAGACACACACACACACACACACACACACACATACACGAACGCCCCTGAAAACATAACCTTCTTGGCGAAGGTAACAATCATTAAGTTGTAAAACTTAACTATTATATATTAGTCGTTTTGACAGACGAGACAAAGACCATGCTGTTGTTAAGGCTTTTGGATGTTTCAGTACGATACCTAGGGGAAAGGGGGCTGGAAGAAACATCATCCCTTTATAACATAATTTGTTACTCACCTAGGCCTAGACTTGTAGAGGCAGTGTAGTCAGAGAGTGAATTAAATGGTCCTCAAAATTTAAAGTAGGTCACATTGTCGTAAAATATTTGACGATCTTTTGGAAACAATAGTTGAACAGTCGAGCCAAGCAGGATTTCAAAGGTTAAACGTCCAGGTGCTCATGATGACTGCCCTTGTTTCTTAGTCTGGACAGAGACATTGTATGTCCTTGGTCTGGACAATTAAGTACGCTTTGTATGATCATTTAGTTCATAACAATTTGTCTGCAGTTATCATAGTTTTTCTTTTTGGTAACACGTGCATACCGCCCATTATCCCCTGTATATCATTTTTGTTAATCCTAAGCCGAACCTTAATCCTATACTAAGCCCTACTTTCCGATTCTTTGTCTTGTGGATGATAAGCATCGTTGCCAAAGAAGAACGTACCCAATGATTCTCCACTTTGAATGTCATTTGCCGGTTGCACAGTGTAAATAAAAGATGCCTTCATACAATCAAAGAATCGGCTCGACATAGTTGTTCTTCAAACATGTCGCTCGTGACTCGATGACGTTGTAAGAGATAGTCGGGCAGAACACACTATACTTTTAGAAGTATAACCATAAACACAAAAAAATATGAACAGACAGGAAACAACCACTGAACATATATCGACCAGAGTGCATATCTTTATTTCAAAAGACTCTAGAATGTTGAGAGAAAATTACACTCGAGTGGTATTTCACCCATTGAATCATACATTTGAATTATACAAAAACGAGAGGTAAAATGTAATATTGGCAGTCTTAAACAACGGTAAGTAAAGTCTAAGTAATTTTTTTTAAGTTTAAGAGTTGCTGCTGGTTATACTTGTTGTGGTAAGAGAAAATCGAATCACATATTGAACATTTCTTGCTATGATGCCATACTTTATATCGCCCCCCAACCTAAAAATAGACTTCACCGTATTACACTTTATTATGTCGAAAACATAGAAGAGCACATACATAGAATATACACACATACAATGCATATGATCATTACAGAGCGCTTTGACGTAACACCTTACATTTGAAGCTCGGTGGGATTGAACATACGTGGCATATGACGTTACCTGTCAAACCATTCTTTTTATATTTTCAATAGGATACAAGTTCACCACCTCACTCTTCCAATATGACTCCCCCACTTAACAGTACCCTAACACCTCCGGATTGTGCGCGACGGCCGGTATGTAGACAGACCTGTTCTACATGTCTACAGCCGGACTCAACCCACTTTGTGCTGAAGTCCCCTCGTTTGGGAAATCCATAGAGAAGCGGTGAACCTAAACCATGTTTACATGCACTTTGCATAACCAGTATTCTTACTACTTAACAACTTAGTGAACAACAGACTACACTTACTTCAATTCTATCGTTAGAAAATTAAAAGACACGTGTTTCTAGCGATCAACAAACTATTTCCTGGTAAAGAGGTGCTGTTATTTTAGCAAACACTTGTTTTCTAGAGAGGGGATATCGGGCACATCCCAGATCTTGTTAGAATAGAAGCAAACTCTCTCCTTGTGCCCGTATTTTGTGTTAAAGAGGCATTTGTTTGTTTACTGTACAAGCTACACCTTTGACCGTGTAAAGTGGACTCTAAAAGGCTCTTCCGTTCATTTATGTCTCCGACCTATGAAATCCTGGTTAAGGCATCTATGGTGGTGTGTTCGACGTTTAGTTGTCAAAACAGGCTACAAAAGATTACGGATACAGCTGTCTGTTTGACTAAGGGCAACAGAAACAGGTTGTTAAGGTTAGTCTTAATCTCCAGAAAGATATGTCGGAAAGCCTGAACCAGTTTTTTAAGATCCACCATAGTGCATACAAGATACAAGGAGGCACTAAAGGGACAAGATGACTATGAGAATTCTTACCTATAGCTAGTTCTAGAGTTTTGCACACAGAAATATGATTTTACCATATACATGTAGTGACATTGACATCGATACATTTCTTGGTGAAATACCCGACACATATTTTCATTATAAACTAGGTACTCATGTTTCAGAACATCTTGAATTACGTATACATTACGCTTTTCGCGCCAGTTTCAGTCACTTTCAAGTTAAGAGTGTCACATATTAATATTGAGCTATAGATTTGCCGACATTACAAAAATACTCATCGGTATTGAAGATACATTAAAAGATGCGCATGCCCCCATAATTCTGTCATACCAAAATTCTCCATCAAAAACCATTTATAATATCAAACGACAAGTTATATAAAAAAATCGAGATAATTTACTATGTCTATGTGCCCAATTTGTAGAAGGATTACGTTTTTAAACACGTCAACATTTCCATCTCTATAACATAAATTCATGACATGATGAAGTGTCGCGACTTGCTGTGTCATGATGTTGATACGAGTATTTTCACGTCACAATGATGTCCTACTCACGTCACCCGCCATCCTTAGTTACAAATCCACCTAAGATCCAGTATTGTTTGCCCGTGCCACGTGAAAAAAGACTGTGGTTTGTACAACAACAATGAAAGAAGGTTTCTACAACAAAAACACTCGGCGTAACCTACTATTTCTAAGGTAATGACAGACAATTCGTTTCGTAGCCAACTCCGAGTTAACGTTCGCCTAGCTTTGTTCCTTTATGTTTGGACGCGGTGCCGAAGGTATGAAAAGGATTTCAATCTTGTGACGGTGTTTAGGCGTGGTTCGAATACAGATATCAATTCGAGAGTAGGTTTAACACCGGACAAAGAACGTGTTCATTTAGATGTCAGCAAGCTGACAAACACAATGGACAAAACACTCAAGGTATTTCAGAAATGAGAATGCAAAGGAAGCTTTCACAGCGCTACCATGAGGATTTGAGCAAATTGTACTAAAAAAACAGCAGAGTCGGCTAGATCAGATATTTTACATTATACATTGTCACGGGGTGTTTTGTACTATTTATGACGAAGAGGGTCGACCAGGTAACGTTCTGGAAAAACATTTCTATTTGGAGTTAAAAGATGACCATTCCGTGACAGTCAGGACCCGTGTGATGTCAACACAGGGCGTTTTCTTAAGTCCATTCTTTTCGCTGGACACTCACGCGAACCTTAATTTCCGCATCTTATATAATTATGGACATGTCACTCAAGATGGTCCCTAGTGCATTCTAAGAAAACTTCTGTCCCTAGATACAGAAAACATAACCGTTCCACATGCAAACAAGAGACAACGGCATGCTAGAGACAAGACAAGTGACAACCCTGCAAACAAGAGACGACATATATGCTATTCCTAAACAGTGACGCTACTTTAGTGTTGTTAGAATATTTGTACGGTCGTGTTACCGCGCCCTATAGGTGTGCGACCCCACACAAATGCACAAATGCTACCTGTAAATAGATCCTACCTGCGCCGGCTTCAACTCTTGATCGCCTGGCCGTGACTGTGCTTGTTTCTACTCGGTATCGCTGTACTTAGTCTCTGACGACTTGTTTAAATAAACTCACAGCACAGACGTACAGGAAGCTAATTGGATGAAGTCGC